GCTTTGCTTTCGACGATTTATGTGAATTCGTTCAATTTAATAAATTAAAATCGTGCCGCATGTGACAGGATTGCGTTTCATTTTATCGCCACAATTAAACGAAATGTCTTAATTTTTGTTTCGGTTACAGGTCAAAATGTATGAGCATATTTTTTTTTTGGTTTGAACCTTCCATCAAATGACAACAACAACAAATATTATGAACCTTGGACTGATTATGGATTTGTCATTCGAGATATGGTCGCAATATGCGTAATAAAAAACGCAAATAAATTCGTACATGTTTTCGACCGTTTTCATTGAAGGTTATTTTATGATTGGAAAATATTTACTCTCAAACTTTTATTAACCTTAGTAAGGTAAAAACATTGACCAAGAAATTTTGGCCAACACACAAAAAAAAAGATCTCGACCTAGGGGGGTCGCATCTGTTTTTGTTGGGCAAATTTAAAGAAAACCCAGAAGAAATTCCGCTATTGTCGGTGTCCTTTTATTGGCCAGCAAAGTATGGAACGATCAAGCCAAAATTTGAGATAAAACAATCCATTGGCAAATTGAAGCTAAAAAAAATCTCTCTTACTAAAAGAATTGGCAAAAACCACGTTCGCAAAACAAGATTCAAAAACCAAAATCTATTTCGATACAAGCTGGAGGTATAGATGAAAACAAGAAGATTGTCTACGACGGCGACACAGCCTTAAGCCTAGACTAACTTGTATTAGAATTTATTGAAGAAAAAAAGAGATTTGTTGTGTTTGTGTATGTGATGTTTATAATACTCTCGATGCGTACATGAAAGAGTTGCGAGTAATGTTTCGCGCGACGTGCAAGTTTCGAATATGTATGTTTGCTCGTTGTTGTCCATATTATTGTTATTATTTCTCTTTTTATTCTTACACGCAAATCAATTTGTTATGGTCGGCTTGAGCATCGGAATTTGAATACATGAGTTGCGTATACTGTGTTGTTGTTATTACGTTTTTTGTTGTTGCTGTTCTTTTGTTTCGTTCAATCTCTGTGTATGTAGAAATAGGAAATACAAAATCACGGACGGAATCAGTGCGTGCTAGTTGCCGGTAGTGCAAAATGTATACACGTTTTGTGTTTTTTTTTCTCCATGGTGTACAAAGTTCACTGAATTTATCCAATTGAAAAAGATATGAAGCGATATCGCAGGTCTGTCTAACGATTGATTGATTCTTTGTTTTGTACAATTTCATGCTTATTCCAAGGGCATGAGTAGTGAATTAGAACTAATACAAAATTTCATCAAAAATGAAAGTGTAGTGCCATCTATATGTACTGCGTATTTCTTAAGAACATTATATTGTATTACACGAGAATGGAATTATTTGTCATAGATAGTGCCTATATGCCGTAGAAATTGCATATTTATTGATATTACCATTGCTCTTTGCCATTAAACCGAAGAGTATTATGGCTAAGCCATATTTTGATTTACTTGGAATGCAAATGGTATTCTGATACACAGGCCGTGTAAACACTTTTTACAATTGACTTGTTGACATCTAATTGAATTCCGCACGCACGAGTGTTAAAATTAATTTTCAAAGCTATTTTCTCAGGGTCAAATCAATTCGATTAATCGGATTAACGATTTCTATTTTCTCTCGGTGTGCATTCGGTCCGATCTTATTGGATTTGAATTAATGATTTACACACAACGGGCTTGTATTTAATCAAATCAGGACTTGTGCGTGTATGTACGCAGTTTTGCAACGGCAACAAAAAAAAAACAAATGCCCATGACAGTTATGACAAACCACAGTTTATGATTAAACTTTCCTTCACAATCGAAAAATAAATTAACACCAAACACCGGTACCGTGTTCTTGCAATCGAAAACACACATCGATTTGGCGAACGATTATCAGCTTTACGCATTTAATCCGAAATTGATTCAGCAAGCTAATCCGGATAAGAATCAATGAATCATTCAGATATTCTTATACTCTATTCGATCATTTTGCGAATGCGAATTTTCCATACAATGTGTTTTCAAATGATACGTTATGCTGCGATGACGCATTTAAATTCTCTATTTAATCCGATAAAATATTGGCCATGTACTTTATGGCATCAAGAAAGAGACTTATTTGAGAATATCTTCTCAATTTTTGACGTTCAACGGAAATTATCGGAAACAACAAAAATCTGAACAGGATTAAGCAAAAACTACTTCCTAGCCAAATGGTTATGGAAAACTTTCATTTTAGCGAAAAATAAAACTAGATTAGGAAAAATACATACTTGAAATAAAGACAATCGATTCTGGATGGTTTTTCATATTAAATATACTTGAATGTTGTGATTCTGGTTTCGGTTCGACATTATCCGATGCTATAACAACTTAATTATTTCAACGTCTGTCAACTGCGATAAATCAAATGTTTGAGATTTTTATGTGCACCTCATCGGTATACAATGGCCTTGATTGTAAAAAATGTATTGAATTGTATGATTTAATATGTTGATTGTAATTAATCAGAAGTACTAAGTAGAGTATGTGCATTGGGTAAAAAAACTGTCTTTTTTTAAATTCTGGATGCTTAAAGATGGGTGGCACTAGCAATTGACAGTGTGCACATTTCTACTTTAAATCATGATTTCTCGTTCGTCGCTCTTCTCTCTCATTTATCTTGATGAGAGCTATGAATATGCCTACATTTTTGCACACTGTGATGTTTCAATCAGTCTCATTCATCTGGATTTATATATACATGAGAAACGATTTTGGTTCTGTCGACTATAATAAATTAGTATCTTGTTGTGTGACACACACACACATATATAGATATGTAAGCCGAAGTGAGTTGAGCCTTCGATGGTGGATAAAATCTGTACATAGACAAAAGTCAAATCACGCACGACAACCGACAATAACTGAAACATTTAATGGCAGACAATTCAAAAATACTTAATGTTTATCGTTTGATTGCAATGAAATGAAGTATGGAAGAGAATGACATGGTCTCCGATTTACGACTGTCAACCAAACACGGTTAATGTTCACAACTACATAAATATACAAACATAGCTTAGGATCTTTGCAATTAAATTTTGCAAAATACATCGCAAATGCCTTAAAATAGCACTTGAAATGCAACAGTTGAAAAATACACACACACAAACACATTACACACGCTGTTAAGGCATCATCAACATCATCATCGTCGTCGTCGTCGACATTGTCGTTGTGTGTATTCCATATTGAATGGCACTTGAATCGTGTGTGCCTCAGCAATCGAAACGCCAACGAAGAGGCTCAGCCGTAAAATCTCCACAAAACCAAAAACCAAATACGACAGTGAAAAAGAGCAGCAAAAAAAGGAGCAAGATATGCAGATAAATAACAAGTCGATTCCGGGCATCTGGTTGACATTTATCAGACGTTAAGACTTCAACCGAGTCAAACAGTTGTCGTCTATAAATCTATTTTCATAGCGGACAGGTTCACGTAGCAACGCTCAAAATGGCCAACCAACAAAATGTAGATTGTCATGGCAGTAGTTTGAGCGCACGTTTGCTCATGGCAGCGGTGTAGAAGCATAATAGCCACCAAAAACGATTGCAAATAAAAGAAAATGTTTTTTTTTTATAGAACGAAGAAAAACATGGATACACAAAACAAAAACACTATTATTTTACTGCATACACACACATTTTCATATATGCATATTACGAATCTGTGCCTGCATAGGAGCATTATTTTGATGGACCGTTTATACATCCATCTTTGACATTACCATTAATACCTCTGCACCTCACTCACTCTATCTCCATCTGTATGCCATTTGAATTTTCTATGTTCTTGTTCAACACAAAATTCGTGTACTAGCATCGAACAACAAATCCACCGATTAAAGCCACCACATTTATCTGAATGCAAAGACTATATGCTATTGCTGCTTCATGTATCGCTATTTTTGGTATAAATTCGAACAATTAGTATTACGGCATTTATCTTGCTGCAGTTGGTCAATTTTACCACACTACTGCCCGGTGAAAAATGACTGATTATATTTGCTCCATTGCGAATAAATTTGCATCAGTTTGGTATATGACAGTCCTACGCCGCCCTCTCTTTCACTAGAACCAAGAATCAATCTTAAGCCTAGGGCATGCATTATGTTTCGATTGATTTGCCTTTTTTCTGGTACCTTTTTTACATCACATTTTTTCCCTTTTACATGCCTTTTGCATTCACGCAAATAAGTAAATATTGGAAACTATGATATGCGCTTTCTTTGTCATACGACAAAGTAAACAAAATGGAAAAATTTCGTTCAATAGAAAAGCAAGGTTTCAAAAGATTGGTTTGACAGATTTGTCGTTTAATAAATCGATTTATTATTTTTCGTTTCGATGATGCTATGCGATGTATTGCACGCTCATTTTTCATTGATCATCAATTCAGCATAAATTATGGTTGAAATATCTGGTGCAATGCACGATGCAATGCGCTCAGTGCATGGGATATTCAATCACGACAAATGGTGCAATGAAACATTGATTCGATCAGAAGTCGATTCGATGTCCCTTGGCAGTAGAATTACGACTGACATTTTCGACTATATATATATGATATTTTTGGTGTATTTGACTTGAGTATTTCCCATTATCTAATCAAATTGAATGGAAAATTTATGATTGATGCGATAATATACAGTGCAAATAATTTGCATAAATTCACATAAGTTAGATTTTTGTTTGCATACAAAGTTAATAGAAAATATCGCAAACGTTCATTTCAAAAATGAAATCAATTGATTTGAGAAGCACAATTCAAATCAAATATATCTTCACGCAATTATTGTTTCTCAAATCAAATCATGTTTTTTTTTTTAAATGATTTGTTGATTTGTCAAATCAGATAATCGATGTAGCATAAAATTAAGTAATTACCCAATTTAAATGTTAAAATTAAATTTACTAATTTTGGTTTGATTTCTTTTTTTTTCTATTTGTGTGACACACAGGTGACGTTCAGCCTATTGCCGGTCAATTGATTGAATTAGCTAAAAAGAATTCATCATCTGATAATATATCCGTGATAGTTGTGTTTCTAAAGGATCCACATCAAATAATAGCCGAACATAAATTAGTAAAAGCCACACAAGAAGTCACAAGAATGGATTTCGAAAGCACAAACGGTTGTCATCATTTGGTTGATGATGGTTTGCTTGCATCAAATCCATCGGCAATGCATGAAACCGCATCATCGCCCGATAAAATGCATGTCGACTTTAATAAAGCAACGGTTGATGTGCATCACGATGCAATGGATGTGAATGATTTTTATTTTGGTAAAAATGGTAGTGGTATTGACGCAAACGCTGTTGATGATGTTAATGAATACCATTCGAACATCCAAACAATACCATCAACCATTAAATCGAACGGTGATGCGGATAAATTTTCAAGCAATGAAATAAATGTTGGCCGCTCAATTGACGATGATCACGATGATTTTGGACCCGAAACGGATGTCGATGCCACTGATGATAATGCCATAAGTCCAATGTCGCCAAGCGTAAGTTTTCATTCAAAATGAATGCTATCAGTTCTTATTAAATGTTTTGTTCCACACAAAAGATTTTCTTTTGTTTGAAGAGTCGAAATTGTAAAGCGGAAATTTTATTTATTGCAAATGTTCTTGTTTTCTTTGTTCCACTTGCAATCAGTGAATTGAAGATAAACAGAGATGCAATGAATGCAATATCCGATTGAATTGAATGAAAAGTCAAATATACAAAACGAATTTCTTGTTAGAGTGGATGTTTGTTCTTTATAAATGTAGCTAAGAGCGATTTTTTCTTTTGCGATTTTCTTTTTGTTTTCATTTTTCTTTATATGATTTTGATACCGGAACGATATAAAGGGGTACGATTATATTGAGAGAGTCGGTGACGGAATTGCAACAACAGACGAACATCAAGTGGATATTAGTGAGACACTCGTTAAGAAACCAGAAGAAAATGACAACAACATTCAACATTCTTTCGATGACAATCGTTTCGTCGACCATGTTAACGAACATTTTGTAAACGCAGCCGCCGCCAATCACTTTGAACAGCAAAATGAACACTTCGAAGACGATGAACCCGAACTACCGAACAAAATTGATTTTGCCGAAAAGAAAGATTATAGTAAGTTTTGATATTTAAACTACTTTTTTAACCTCTCTTTAAACAAATGGAATCACGTGTAGATAGAGCATTCAACGCGCATTAATAATCATAATTTTTATCTTATTGTGAACTAATTTCATGACATTCAAATAATTTTTCATCTCTAAACACAAAGACGAAGAAGACTTTGATGATGATGACGACGACGATGATGATGTACACGATGAAGTTTTGAATGCAAGCATGCCTGAAAATCTTCATCACATGCCCGATGTCATCACAACCGAATGCGAACAGCACGGTAAGTTCGCCCATTTCATTTTTTTCTATCCCACTACAATCTCTCAATATTTATACGTGTACCGTTTTATTGGTTTTTCCACTTTTCAAATACATTTTCCATCTTAAATATACATTACGTCAGCATCGTTGCATTTCAATTCTCAATCTCCGAAACACATATACTTACTTATTTTTTTTTTTAAATAAGAATCAGTACGCAACGTGCCACTTGCAATAAAATATCACATGAAATACTAAGAAGAAGAAAGAGAAAGAAAAAATATATTGACACATCGACAAGCAGATACTCATCCGAAAATGGGTACTGAAAAAAGGCTTTACAGATTTTCAATTTTGTTTGGTTACAAGTGAACTTTTTATTTTCCACATCTAACATACTATAAACACATTTCCGACTTGGTCTTTTGACTGAACGAAGAATGCAGTGGTACACCGACCTCAGATCGTTTCGTTCACAGAAAAATCAATTCTGTATACAACATTGAGTCTTTTATTCTCAGGTTTTATTGCCTTCAATATTTAATGTTGCAATTTTGCGTCCGAGCACAAGACAGAGAGACACCCGAAACAGAACAAAAAAAGAATATATACAAAACACAACGATGTAAACTCCAACATTGAGTATGCTTGAGCCCGGTTTAATGCTTTATTTTCTTCTCATTTTTGCCGTATCAACCAAACACAATTCTAATAAAAATGAATGGTAAATCGAAAATTGAAAAATAGAAATGAATGGGTCAAAATAAAAGTCCGACTTGTACGCAGAGTCTATAAAAGTGGAACATGGAGTTTTTTTTACATAGTTTATTTGTTGTAATACAACAACAATTCTATGTAAAAAAATGCTGTGTTCCACTTTTATAGACTCTGCGTACAAGTCGGATTTTTATTCTGACCCATTCAAATCTCATCGACAGTAAGTGGCAAATATGTGGTTAGAGTTAGGAGACTCCATCACCGTTTCTCAAAAATAGACTATTTTTTTTAATTTCATATTTACTCTCTCAATGAATACCATTCATATGAAAATCGTACCAAAAACAGTCGATCGTGTAATTCTGCATCTATAAATCTATGTTGTAAAACTGTATTTCTCTCGTAAAAACTTTGTTGGAGTCTCCAACTTGGAGTCTTTTGCAAAAGTAAAATGAGAGAAAAAAAACCGAGCATGAATTAATTTGAGCGTCAGGAGAGTACCGTGATAGAGTGAAAGTAAGCGCACCGGATGATCCCGAAGGAATATTTTAATTTAATTCATTTTCTAGGCTTTGGCGATTATCCGTTAGCAAATACGTGCAGTTTTAAATGAGCATGTATAAATCGAGCAGACAAATGAGGGAGGGGCGTTCATTTGGTCATATCAAATCAAGTCATTGAAAAAGTGCGAATGGCCATTCAACATTCGTTTGAAGAAGTGAAATAAACTTTGTAGAGCATCATTGTTAATACAATTTTCATGCATCGTTCAACTTAATCATTTTGAATCGCTTGGCGTTCATTAAGACCGCTTGCAGGAAATATTTCAAAGTGCGGCTTTTTCTCTTTCTATTCGCTTTTTTTTCATTCAATTTATTTTTCCAACTTTTCGCCGTATTTTTCCGATGGGATTGTTGCTCAATATAAATTGTGTGTGTGTGTGTTTTTTTCGTTTACAATTATTTACATATACATTTACAGTTTTGCGCTTTTCATCGAATTCCCACTTTACTTTAAAACGAACGCAGCTGCTATATATTTCAATCTTTTGCTCAATTTCGTTCAATCGATTTGTGTGTTTCATTAATTTTGCCATTTTTCTTTTGGTTGATTTTTTGTTGTTGCTGTTGTTGTTTTATCTAAATCATTTCTCAATTATTATTTTCACAAGCAACACAGTTATCGATTTATTTTTATACCATATTCGAAGTAGATGTGTACATTGTCTCAAATTTGTATTCATTGGCGAACGGAGATCGGGCAAAAAAAAACATTACAAATCCATACAAAATATGCTACAGGGTATAATGGCATTGATTGAATTTTGTTCAATGTTAATTTTGACCAAAGTCCAATCGTTCATAATCTCCATCTCTTTCGCTCCCCATTCACAAATCCTCGAATACACATTCAATTAATAACAGTAGTGCCGTGCAACTTGATTTTTAATTCCAACTCGCAATCCACTAATCATAATCGGCGGTTTTGTCGATTTAATAAACAAAAAGCATTGAACTTGATTTCGACGAATTGCCTCACATCGTTTCCCATTTGCTTACTTGCACAAGTGTATGCTTCAGTATGTGTACGTAATAGCAAAAATCATATATGCTCTAGCGGAGAGAAGGCACATTTGCTATTAAGTACCTTAATTAGTTATTAAAAAGAAGCACTATCAACCCGAAAACGATTTTTTTTTTTTCATCTCTCGTTGAACTCGCACAGTCACAAATGAATGGTCGAGAAAAAAAAAACCATCACGTCGACATGTTTTCGTGCTATTAAAAAATCAGTTTGATGCAGCCAAAAGAGCGCTGGAACTCTTGTTGAATAATAAATGGGCAAATAAACCATTTGTTTGCCATACGCCGAATTTCAATTGTGTTGATGAAAACTGATGAAAATAAAAAATCAACAATCATGTCAAAATCAAATAAATCACAATGCACTAGAGTCAGCCGCCTGATGATCACATACATAAAAATTAACCGAAACAAAATCGCATGCTATTTGGATTGTGTTTAATTTCAATTACAAAAGAAGGAAAAACAACAACATGAACGATTGATGAGATTTCATTGCAATCTGGTTGTATTTTCATTCATTTCTCGTTCACAAACAAGCTCTCTTGCTTTCATTCATTTTGTGTTGTCAGTTGGATGCGTCGCAACCCAAAAAATACTTCAACAACATCAAAAAAAAAGTGCGCGCGACGCGTTCGCATATAGAAACATCGAAACCATCATGTTTATTTATTTATTTTGAGTGGTTTATTTTCAACAGCTCTGCCATTAACAACCAATTAAAAAGTCTTCGATTTCCTCTAGCCGCCTTTTAACGCAAACATTTTAAAAACCAGCTACAATCTCGAAAAATCAATCACATACAAATATTGTTTTGAATGGGAAAAAAAGAGAAAGATTTGCCAGCGATGAGTTCAACTAAAATTTGTTCAAGCGTATCGAGCAAAATTCGACGATATATAAGACTTTAGTCTTCATAATCTGCATGCAGAAAAAAAAAACTTCAATTTCTCTTTCCTTTATCGTATCACAGCTCAATTAACATAAAAGACTCTTGTGAATTGTTTATGAAGCATATCCATGACATTATGTCATCGCTCTATGTTCAAATATGAATTATTGCCACCAAAAAAACAACCATTTCCAATTTGAATCTATTAGCGAAACTTGAATTCTGCGTGTGGAACATATAACACATACTTCTGAACGAATCATGCGAAACACTCACACACACACACACACATTTCTAAAGAAAATGCCGGAGCAAAAACCCCAAAGAAGACATACGGTACGAGGAAGAGATCGTTACGATCGTATGATCATATCAAACAAAAAATTACATATACAACAGTTTAGTAATGATTAAACTAGAGAAAAAGGTATATAATAGGTATCATACACGAGCATCCGAAATTCGGCATTCGTTGTAGTGAAATGTGAACGGCAAAAACCAATTTACATTTTTGATCAAAACTAGTAAAACGTATAGGCCTCGAAATTAACATAAAAATAATTCTTGAATGTAGCACGGAAACGCCTGACTACATCTCTAAGAGATAAGTGAAACACACACGCTTTAAAACGATCGACTAACAGAATGTAGCAAAAAAAGCAGCAGCAGCAGCAACAATTTAACCGTCTTTTTAGCCAACGGTGGCAATATATTACTTACAATAGCTGAACTGAGTAATTGTTGTTTACAATCAAACGCTAATTTCGTGCTTTGGAATTCAATTTCAAACATTGAACTCGAAAAAATGTTTGCGATTGTACGTTTTCTTATCTCAATGGGCATTGACATGAGTAAAATTATGTGTCAGCTATTCTCAAATTAATCATCATATGTTTCTCATTAGCAAATGCAAACGTTATACACATTGTATCAATTACACCTGATGATAACGCCGAAATTGACTGATAATGTGTTGTTGAATGTTTAATGTATGTTTGTGTGGCGTCGTTAGTGTCAAATCTAAAAATATCTCGTTTTTCGCCAAAATAAGAATCCCTTCCGCTGATTAAAATAATAGGTGCGTTCAACAAGCTTGATAATTTGCATACAGACACATACAACATACATAGTGCATGATTCACGGAGAGGTTTCGATGATGTGCACAAAGACGCAAACCGATTTGCGCAAGCGTACACACGGAAACATCATCCATCGCTTTCGTTATTATTTTTAACAATTAGAAATGGTTTTTTTGCTGAATGAGCAAAAAAAAAAAACACAGAAACAACGAAGCAGCGAATATAACACACACGAAAAAAAAGCGATGACGCTACCGCAAGTGCTCGTATACTGTCTCTCTTAAAATAATATAGTATGGTTGGCCGCTGTCATATTTGCGAATTGTGTGCAAACTTAATAATCGTACTGTTTATTTTTGAAATACACATGTGAAATGCCCGCGAATGAATTCCAAAATTGCCACAATAAATTCCAACAAACAGACAAATCACATATACATACATGCACACACACACATGCAATGCAAAGTAAAGAAAAACACCCAATACGTAGGTTGCTCCATAATTTTTTTTAAAATGGTACTTATAGTGTTGCCCGATGTAAACCATTGTCATATTCGTAAAGTTTGATGTTTTGGTATGTATTCGTGCCCTGAACCTTTTGTCGTACGAACGCTATTTGTATTGTTTACAGTGACTGGTAAACTGCGACTCAACAAAAAAATGAATTTTACACGTGAAGATTTTCGTAAAATGATTTACTACGATTTTCGAAGTAAATTATCTCAACAACAGTGTTTCGATCGA